GCTGCCTGTGTTGCTCATCTCCATACCCTGGGTGTGGCTGTTTCACCTCAAACTTTTCACACAACCTATCTCCCCACAGTCTGCTGTTGCAAAATTCTCATACCCAAGCCACTGCCCTGCCCACTTTTAACCCACACGAGGCCCGACTGCATCATTCAACCTTGCAATCTCATCTCCTCTACTCATGCTTTCTGCAGCTCGATCGCACACCATGGGGCGTCATGGAAGACTTGGAGCATTACACAGTCGTCAAAATGATTGTGCGGGTCGCCCTCCTCTGCACCCGAACATAGTGACAGCCATGAGGACATATATGAATGGGTCGAACACAACAACCACCACGCAATACATCACGGACAAATGCTCAGCACCAGATGCGGCTGGTACCATAGAAAACTTAGCAACGTACCTCAACCTCCCGCACCAGCGACTCGAAGTCGGTCGCGTCAATGTAGATGGAGTGTGGGAAGTTGAACGTATGCGTCTCTGCAGCGTACGGGACGCCAAAGTCGAGCACGGCAACCTCGACCCACTTCTTGGCGCGCACGCACATGGCCTCGTAGTTGGTGCGGTTGACCTCCCCACTTGGTGGAGAGCTTGCCATCCGGAGCATTATTCAGGATGGGCCACTCAAACTGCAAGTGTGTGAAGGAATAAAGAAAGGAAAAAGGCAAAACAAGAATGCGCATTACACGTAAATCCTTACTCCCGCTTGCGGCACAGCCAGACAGTTAAGAGCACGTACATAGACATTAGAAATGCGGTGCAAGCAACCCCTCCTACCCACGCCATACCACCCAACAACACGGTTAAAATATGCTAAGGAACTCACAGCGTAGAGAATCCAGCCCAGCTGGCGGATTTTGATCTTCTCCGTGTTCACGCCCCTCCTTGCCAATGCGAGGCGAACGGAGACAGCAAAGATCAGAGTGGAGAATGGCTTTCCACCATCAAGATGCCAGCAGAATCCCCAGTCATCTGTGTATGCGAGTAGGTGAATGAAGAGGCAGGGAGGGAGGAGAGGCAGGGAGGCAGGGACAGAGGGAGGGAAGGAGGGGAGGGAGGGGGGGGAGGAGAGGGGAGGGAGGGAGGGAGGGGAGGGGAGGGAGGGGAGAGCAGGAGGCATGGATGAAGAAGCCCGGGCTGCGAAGTGCACCATGGCTTGCAATCCGGCGGGGTAGCTCCGACGTGGTAGACCTTGGGTGATGGGTGAGAGGTTGAAGATACGAAAGGGGGGAAGAGGAGGGAGGGAGGGAGGGGAGGGAGGGAGGAGGGAGGGAGGGAGGGAGGAGTGAGTGAGGGAGGGAGGGAGGGAGTGAAGGAGGGAGGGAGGAGCAGGAGGCATGGATAAAAAGGCTCGGGCTGCGAAGTGCACCATGGCTTGCAATCCGGCAAGGTAGCTCCGACGTGGTAGACCTTGGTTGATGGGTGAGAGGTTGAAGATACAAAAAGGGGAAGACGAGGGAGGGAGGGAGGGAGGGGAGGGAGAGAGGGAGGGAGGGAGGGAGGGAGTGAGTGAGGGAGGGAGGGAGGGAGTGAAGGAGGGAGGGGAGAGCAGGAGGCATGGATGAAAAAGCTCGGGCTGCGAAGTGCACCATGGCTTGCAATCCGGCAGGGTAGCTCCGACGTGGTAGACCTTGGTTGATGGGTGAGAGGTTGAAGATACGAAAGGGGGGAAGACGAGGGAGGGAGGGAGGGAGGGAGGGAGGGAGGGAGGGGAGGGAGGGAGGGATGGAGATTTGATACAGTCATGAGTAACGAGAGGTTTTAAGCATTGTTTACATGGAGCAAAAAGGGGACCACAATAAACCTCACCATCAAAGTATTTGTCCTTCAGCTCGTCGTCGTGGTAGTAGATCTCAGGGGCTGGCAGATCCGCTGGAAGATTCTTCACATACGTACGGTTGCCTTGCCGCCCTAATGCAGTGAGTCCGACCTTCCGCATACATCCATTGATCGTGGTCCTCGTGGTCGACAGCTGCTCGAAGAAAACACCACGGGTGGCCGGGTCATTGTGATCGAAGAGCAACTTCAGCGCATCAGTCACGATCCCCGAGACGAAAACCTGGAAGCCATGCTCCAAGGCCTCGTCAGAAGACGGGTAGAACTGGATCTTCCCCGCAATGATGGTGAAGATCAGGTGTGTTGCCACGCGCTTCGACAGATCCTATGGGTGGAGGAGAGGAGATGGGAGGTGAGAAGGGGGGAAGAAGAGAGGGGCAAGGAGAGAGAGTAGCAGGGGGGTGGGGGGGAGAGGGGTTTTTGAAAAGGTGAGGAAAACTAGAAGCGTCAAGCTGACAACAGAATGTAGGGAATGCAAAGCGTGCGAATGGGTGGCGACAAAAATTGGTGAAAGGAGAAGGGTAAAGCTGGTAACAAGCGGATGAAGTGGGTGAGTATGGGACGGGGGGAGAGGAGGTTGCAAGGTAAACGGATGATGGAGACACAAAGAGAGACAGACAATCACAAAACGACCAGCGGTGCAGGGGAACAAGGCGAGTACACAAAGCAAAAAGTCGCACGGATAGCACAAAGCCTACAAAACAGCACCCGTTTTCGTGTGCCCATCACGACCCCCCACACCAACCCACCTTGTAGTCATCGACGTGCTTCATGACAATGGCCTTTGCCAACACCAGTGGACTCTCTGTGAGCCTAGAGGGGGCAGGCACCGCCGGTGCAACTGTAGATGCAGATGGAGTCACCATGACCGCCTCTGGCACAGGGCCCACCCCTTGCGCCTCCACAAGAGCCCTTATGGCCTTAAGCTGGCCCAGGAGGTTGGCCTCCAGTGCTATAAATTCAGCACGTGTGACCGCTTTCTCCTCGGTGCTCAACCCCGAAGTCGAAGCGACTACCTTTGGCGCAGCAGCGGAGATCGCATGCCGTTCGGACGACATGCAGTAGATTTTCCCTGGTGGCGGTGCCCCAGAAAGCGCCAGTACTGCAATATAAGGGGAGGGAGGGAGGGAGGGAGGGAGGGAGGGAGGGAGGGGAGGGAAGGAGGGAGGGGAGGGAGGGAGGGGAGGGAGGGAGGGAGGGGAGGGAGGGAGGGAGAGGATGAAGGGAGGGAGGGAGGGTGGGAGTGAAGGAGGGAGGGGAGAGCAGGAGGCATGGATGAAGAAGCTCGGGTTGCAAAGTGCACCGTGGCTTGCAATCCGGCGGGGTAGCTCCGACGTGGTACACGTTGGGTGATGGGTGAGAGGTTGAAGATACGCAAGGGGGGAAGAGGAGGGAGGGAGGGAGGGAGGGAGGGGAGGGAGGGAGGGAGTGAAGGAGGGAGAGGAGAGCAAGAGGCATGGATGAAAAAGGGGTCAGGGAGGGTGGGCGGTATGGAGGATTTAATGGAGGGAGGGATGGAGGGAGGGGCAGGGAGGCCAGGATAAAAGGGACAGGTGTGCCATGTACAGGGAGGCTGGCAAGACGGGCGAAGTTACACTGACGTGGCACTCACCATTGGCTGCCTTGGATTCAGATCCCTTCCCCTTGCCCTTGTCCTTCAAATCCTTCCCCTTGGCCTTCCCCTTATCCACATCCTTCCCCTTATTCTTGGCCTTCCCCTCCTTTGCCTTCCCTGTATCCTTACCCTTCCCCGTATCCCTTGCCTTCCCCGTATCCTTTGCCTTCCCCGTATCCTTTGCCTTCCCCGTATCCTTTGCCTTCCCCGTATCCTTTGCCTTCCCGGTATCCTTTGCCTTCCCCTCATCCTTACCCTTCCCCTTATCCTTTGCCTTATCCGTACCCTTTTCCACCCCCGGTTCCTTGGCCCTCCCCTTACCCTTCGCCTTCCCCTGATCCTTAGCCTTCCCCTGCTCCTCTCCTTCAACCTTTACTTTGACAAGCCCCTTGTCCTCTCCCTTCCCCTTAACCCTATCCTTCCCCAGATCCCCTTCCTGCCCCTTATCCATGGCCATATCTGCACCCTTTGCCTCATCCGAGCCCGGGCCCTTCCCCCCCTCCGTGGCCTCCTCCGTGCTTGTCGGCTTGAAATCTTTACCATTTGAAGCCGTCCCTTCTGCTGGATGTGCAAATAACCGCAGCAAAGGGATGTTCAGAGGTTGATGAATACGACCCATCACAAAGCATGGCATAGGCATCATTGCTAGTACGAAGAGCATGGTGCAATGGTTTCCCGACATCCAGAAATAGCCTCACGCAGGAGTTTCTACTCACCGTCTCCATCAGGTTGCTCCTTGTGCTTGACTGTCACGTCACTGCTGACAGCTCCATTGGCGACCGTTTGCTTCAGCTTCTTCCTTGCGCCGGCAGTGTTACCATTAGCCTCTTTCCTACCATCCCCATTCTCCATATCCATTGTTGATGCCTCCTTCTTCGATGAGCCAATGGCTGAAAGAGGGCGCACCTTTCCCCTCCTCGTAGCGCAAGCTTCATCAGCATCTTCATCGGCATCCTCATCAGCACCGTCGTCAGCATCCTCAGCAACAGCTTCGTCAGCATCCTCATCATCCAACTCATTCTCATCGTCATGTTCGTCGTCGTCCGACTTTCCAGCGTCACGACCCTCATCCTCCTCGACATTCTCATCAACATGCTCTTCCTCACCATCCCCATCCGTGTCGTTGTCGGCATTTTCGTCGTCACTTTCCTCACCTCCTGTCTCCGCTCCCTCGTCCTCGTCACTTTCGTCGCCTCCCCCGGATTCACGCCCCAAACTCTCGTTCCGCTTGCGTACATCACGGCCTGCCCCATCCTCATCCTCCTCCTCCTGATCGGAAGCAGCGGTGGAGTCATTGTCGGATGTGTCATCCTCTCCCAATCTGACCCGTCTTCGCCGCTTCCGACCCGATTTTCGCTGTGCAGTCACGTCTTTGTCATAAGTGGGCTTGCCTTTGGCGAGGAAGCTCTCACCCTTCTGCTTGCGATTGTTTCGCGTGGTCTTCGAACGAGTGTCGCCATCACCGAGCTTGGAAACCTGCTTCTTGGGCGCCATGAAGGTGTTCACGGAAAAGGGAGGAGAACGAGAGCAGAGCGTGGTGTGAATAAACTAGTCGAGGTGGCGGTGAGAAGCTGGAAACTATACTGGACTGTGTCTGGATGACTGCATTTTAACATGACTGGCGCTGCCATGACCGGTCCTGCGATGCGGTCTTTAGTGAGGAATACCTGAGACTTACAACGGGGGCGTCGCCACGAGCGGTGTTCGCATCGCAAAACTTCAAGACGTCAGACGCCGCAACGCTAGACGTCGCCGCGCTACACGTCGCTGCGCCCGTCGCTATCGTTACAGCGCGCGGCATCCCTGCGCCACACGACGCGACGGAAGACGTCGCATCGCCAGACGTTGCATGGCTAGACGTCGCATCGCTTGACGTCGCATCGCCAGGCGTCGCATCGTCAGACGTCGCAGCGCGAGACGTCGTGCTCCCGACGTCGCAGCGCCCGTCGTCGCATTGTCTGACGTTGACTAAGTGATGTCGAACCGCACGTGATAGTGGCCAGCTCGACGGCACTACCCTGGCTATCGTCAAAACCGATCTGCGCGCCTGACGCATTCTTATACCAGATAGGTCACCGCGTCATTAGCGCGCCGCGCCTAGAAACTACCAACTCAGGAGCGGCTAAAGGGGGATGCTAGGAACGACGGCACAACGGGAGTAAATGGCGCAAGAGCTCCTAGTGAGGCAGTGAGAGAGGTGGAAGACAGTGATCAAATGGGCTGGACGTGCGAGACCCCTAAGGGCGTCGGCCGGTTTCGTGGGTCTGAGGGACGCTGGGCTGTGTTTCGTTGGCTGCTGTGGGGTCCCATAGAAAGTTTGTGTCACGTGTTTCTGCACTGGCTGCTCAACCAAAACGCAACCTACGCGAAACTGAAGAGTTGCGTCGCATGGAGGTGTACAGGGCTTACCACAACGTGTGAGGGGAGTCCAGGTGCCTGGCGACATGGGGTGGTAGGGGACCCAAAATTCAAGCGTCCGCCACACGAGTGCTGGAGTCTATTTACTGCCCGTGATCCGACTTTGACCAATGTACAACCTGCCGCATTCGATAAGGTTGCGTGTTTTCTAGGCTCTACACTTCCTCTCAACAGTTGGGACAGGACGTTCATGCTGCCCCCTTGCGACGCGTTGTGGTGAGCAGTGACTGGATACGATCCATTGGGCCGGGCTGTGTCCACGCAGCATTCAGGGCGGCGCGACATTTGTCGAGCTGTCCGGACATGAAAAATCCAGGGGCCAAGCCAGTCGAGGTAATAAAGAATCGGGCAGAGTTTACTGCTTCCTAATTGTGCTGGCGTTTGCGCGACTGGACTTCTGCCCAAAGTGATGTTCCGAGCTCCAGTGGGTGAGCAGAATGAATAGAAAAAGTAGTCGCTAAATTTACTGGAAGCTTTAGGGCAAAGAGATGTACACGCTTTCCTGGGCAAGTTCGCAACAATGTAAACAGTGGCAACAACTTCCTGGCAGCGTTGGTACTGTACATCACCACAACGTTTGGGCCGGTGCGATGGTCCTTGTGGCAAAGCTGCCACGAACCTGGCCAAAAGGAAAGGGTTATTCCATCCCTACACAAAATGCCAGCGGACCAAAGTGACGGAATATTCCAGCAGTGCGCTTGACAATGCTCGTTCATTGGGCAGCAATGTGGATAACACGTGGCACAACACTATCGGCAGCTCGCCATTGGCTGCAAACCAAGAGTGGATGTCATCGCGATGCAGCTCCTTTCTCCTGCCGCTGGTTGTCAGGTGCTGGATGCTCCTGCTGTGCTGTTTGGATGGTCAGCCACACGAACTTATAGACTATGCAACAAGGTGAATTTATAACACGAACCCTACGTATCAAAAACCAATGATGTTAATCTGTTCATACATAAATAACCCCATATGACGACCTTCCTGAGCAGGCTTCACCCCGGTGGCTCAGAAGCCAAATGGGACCTTTCAGGGCTAGTAAAATAACACAGTAAAGCGCAAACGGGATCGGATGGTGCATGAAACAAAATGCACGAAATAAAACGCATCATATTGAACAACCTCTGCCTTCTAAAACATCCCGAGACCTAAAAAAACCTCACACCTTATGGCCGCTATTTTGTTCTTCGTACGCAACGTCGGGAAATGGTGACAATCTCGCAAAATGGCACTGCTCATATCGCACGCGTCACGACTTGTGGGTAACGATTTCACGGCTAGTACACGTCGCAGCTGACGAGCAATACAATTCGAGGATGGTGATTGATACGGGTATATGGCATCTGTTAGATTAGTTTAGAAGGGTCGTCATATTACTGCATAGTCCGTAGGACCTTTCGGAATGAACTGCAGTGTTGCGCTTTGCGGAATTGAATGATTGGTCGACGAACCATGTTAGAATGAATGTAACTTAGGTCGTACTCCTACAGACCAGGATCAAGTTCTGGATCTGGAAAACGGGGCTGATCCCGGCGTGCAAGCATGAATGACAGAATCAGCTCGGTATTGAAGCCTCGTCATGTCGCGCATGCTTCTGCCAATTGGATGTTGGTATAGGCTCACCCCAATTGGAGGGATGTCACCGACAAATGATGCCCTGTGGAATTGCACATGTCGGAAGTGACAAACCATAATGCACGGCACGTCCAGAGCAAGCCCGGCCCGGAAAGCGGGCGACGAGGACGTTAACGAATGTTCGCCCGTATATCAGAGCACGCTGCTACACTAGCGTCTACAACCATGTAGACGCACCAACCTGTCACCGAAGTGGTGCACCGACCTCTGTCCCCAGCCACAGCAGATGGAGTGAGTTGTATAGGTTCCGCTGGCACGAACGTCAGAAATCCGTGTTCGTACGAATGTTTGATGTGAAAGGCCTTGAGTAGCCGCCATCGGCAAGCGATGGAATATGAACACTGTACATGATGTTAGTCTCGCCAACATCGAGTCAAGGTCGGTGAGGCTAATGCGCGGGGCCTCCGGCACGTGTCCGTGTCATGCTCGCTAGACAGGCAGCCCAATAGTGGGACCGCCTCGTGGTGTACATCGTTGCGTCCCAAATAATCTGGTATGGTGATATTCTGCCCGACTGTAAAGCTTCCTCCTGAATCCGTGTTTCAAAGTCCTCATCCTCACGTAGGTTTACGTGCGGCATTGACCAGGCGTTGGGGGATCTTCGACACCGCAACTTGGAGTGCGGCAGGGTTTTCAGTGCTGGAGTAAGCGGCATGTGACTGATTGCTTTCCTAACCGTGTACGGGCGCGGAGGGGTGAAGAGAGTGAAGATGCGGGGCGTCGACAAGGACGGGCAGCCGGTGACGCACACGTACCATATGCACGAGCGGCAGATCAAGGGACATGTCTACTGGAGGAACTACCGGGACTGCAAGCTGTTGTGTGCGAAATTCGCGAGGGGGAGCATGACGAACCTGCTGGTGTGGCTGGACGACCTGTTGATGCTCGGGCCGCCAAAGCTGTCTCGGGCGGGCAAGTGGCCGCGACTTCGGACTGTGAGGGAGAAGAAGACGAGGGAGTATCTCTATGGCTACGGTGCTAACTTCGACCAATCGCATGCCTCTCTGGCAAGCATGCGCGGTGTGACCATTCTCAACTGTGGGGTCCGAGCGTAGTTTTACCAAGCAAAATGTGATCAACTCTTGGGACCACGGTGCAGTCTGCAATGCCCGCCTGGGTGAGCTGATAACGATTTTGTTGCTGAAATACGAGATCGACAAGCATGAAGCGCTGGAACCGTGGCACGTGAAGAAACGAAGACCAGCAAAATCGGTGTTCCTCGTATTACAAGCGAGGAAGCGCAAGGGCAAGGCTTTGCTGGAAGAGGGTGAGCACGTACCTCCGGTGGCAGACTACAGTGACGGAAACAATTGTCCGTAAGTTTTGCATTAATCAGGGTTTCTAGGCTGTAAGACCATTATACATTAAGCCTTAATGTTTTATGGTGGTAAGATTAGGGAGGGGCACATAGTGAATGTGTTTGCAGTACAAAAATCCAGAACAGTACATTGGATCTAACTGATATCCCAGAAGGTAAAAAATGGGTACATCCGGACAAATAGTTCCAAGCAGAGAGAGCAAACTTCCTAACCACGTTTCTAGTACATAGCTCACTAACCATTGGCCTTGATCACCACCCGCAAACTCCTAGTCATGTTACCTACGAGGTTAGTGCAAACCTCGGTAGGGAATTTCTTGCACTCTGCCTGGACGCACCATTTTGCATGAGGGGGTGAGCACTAGGTAAATCGCGAAGAAGTTGGGCGTAGGCATGAGTATTGTGGAAGATCTTTTATTGAATGGTATCTCTGAGACTAGCCATGCTGCGGTGTGGCCAAAGATGCAATCAGCCAGTCGGACCCATCTTATCACGAATCGTCTTCGTCGTACTGTTGTAGGGTAATGTTGCCCGGTTGACGGTGCATCCTTTCACCATAAAAATCACACAAGGGTCCGCGGGTATAGTCACGATGCAGCAATCGTAGAAGCTGTGACAATTGTGGAAAAACATCAGGGGCCGGCTGCAATTCGTGGAGTCGCATGCTAAGTGGACAATTAATGTTCGAAAGCATGTAATCTGGTGAAATGGGACCAACATCTACTACTTCAGCACTAATGGTCATGCGTTTGCCTGGATTCGTGAAGGCACAACCCTGCAGTACCACCAAATCAAACAGATGGTAAACCATGGTGACAAGGATTGGTGGAGGTGTGGGGATGTATGACATGTGCGCGGGTGGGGCTCATATGCAATATTGACGGCCCCAGTACGAGATAATTTTGGACGATGAGCTCGAATTAACCCTTGATTTCTATAGCATTTTCCCCTCTGAGGTCATTTCGGTGCGGACAATGACTGCAAGACCTTTTCATGCCTAATGCAGGAATGATTTGGAGAACATGAGTCTGTAGCCCTGGAGTGGCCATCTTCCTCGTCAAACCTCAACCTCTGAGCTTACCTGAAAAGGGAGTTGGCCAAGCATAAAAGGTCTTTCTCTGGAATGCGGG